CTGCTGAGAGTGTGGCCATAGGTTAAGCTGGTGAGCGGCATATCGAAAGCGAACGGCCACAGAAAGTGGAGTGCACCGGCATGGATCATGGAGGTATGAGCCATCTCCATGACCAAACCGATGCGTTGGTCAGCGACCCCATTCTGTTGTAGGGAGTCCGGCAGGGTGTACGGCTGGGTGATGCCCTCCACACGACAGAAACGGACAAGCTGACTGGACGTAAACTTGCTGCCATGGCCGGAGTGGAGACGAAGTACCGGGAGGCCGCAGTGGACGCGCGTAGCTACGACCTACGAGATAAGAACATCAGGCACGTCGGCCTTCCGCTCCAGGGGAAACACCGTGGTGTAGTGTGTGTAGTCGTCAACAAGCGCTAGAAAGTAGCGCTCTCGACGCGGCCTAGGGACGGGGGCTGGGCCCCAAACGTCCAAGTGCAGGATTTGGAGTGGCGCAGTGGTAGGGAGAAGCGAGGAGAAGTGAGGAGCACAGTGCAGCCGGCCCTCGACACAAGGTGTACACAGCGTCGCAGGCGAGGGGGGAAGGGCAGTGAATGACATAGGAAGACCAAAGACAAGACCGTGATGGGACATGTGACGTAGACGTGGGAGTGCGGCGTGACCTAGGCGGTGGTGCCACAGCAGCGACAGGTAAGTGAGCGACCAATTCGAGCACGCCGCAGCGACCTGGGTCGTCGCAGGCACCTGGGGGGACGCCCTCACCGAGGGGGACGTAGTGTCAAGTGTAAACAGGCCAGACACAGGGTCCCGAGGGAACGTGGTCAGAGGGGTACCAGTGGCGGCCTCTGTACAAACCGTGTACAGCTCATATCAGGGGAACGTAGTGGTGACACTAAGGTCCTGAAGACAGCCGACACCAACTAGGTTCCTAGAGAATGAGGGGATGTGCAGGACTGTAAGAGAGCCCGAGGGGACCACCAGACAGGGAGGGCAATGGAGCTACAGGCTACTACCGGACCTAAGGAGGGGTCTGCAAGCGCTATAGCAGCGTGTCAGCAAGCGGTGTGAGCACGGGTGGTCACGAAAGAAATAGGCGGACGCTCTAGAGTCAAGCCTAAAGGAGAGCGACGAAGTAGCGTTAGTAGGAGGAGGGGCGAGCGTAGAGCCTAGGCTAAACAAGGCAGAGGGTGCTACGCCTGACGCAGCAGGGGAGCCTAGACTACACATAGGGGACATACCTATGCTAGGATACATCGGGTAATAGGGTCCAATCACTCTAGAGTCATCAGCAAACATGACAGATAAGCAGTCCCAATCTAATCCATGTGAAGCTCAAAGACAGGCACACGACGTCGAGCCAGGGCGAACCAGTCAGGAGGGTCCGACGTGGGTCCGAAGTAGTGGCGGAAAAGGTCGTCCAGGTGGCGGTAGTAGCGATCGGCGGTGTGGCCAGACCGAGAGCAAACGGTGCCGCGGCGGGGGCCGGTCTGAAGATGGTACTGGTAGGTGACCGCAGTGGAGCCGCCACCCGACATCGAGTTGCTCCTGCCACCACCACGACCACCGCCACTAGCGCCGCGAGTCCACCACGGCGACCGGGGTCCCCACGGCGACTGCTGCTGCTGGTGCTGCTGAGGTTGCATCTGCTGTTGCTGCTGCTTCAGGGCACCAGCCCTAGTCCCCTCGTCCGAACCACAATCCTCGCCCCTATCTCCTCCACCCTCCCCACCCCCACCCCCCTTCCCTCCACCACGCCCCTCTTTTGAGTGGCGACCCTTACCTGGACGCGACTGCGCTGAGATCACAGCGGCGGTCTCAGCAACAAAAGCAGAGACGTCCGAGTAAGAGCACTGGGAGGGAGAACAGCTCTGAAAGATAGGGACCGGTGCAATATCGCTAGACTGAGTGATAGTGCACTGGCGGATCTCTATCGCGGATAGGGCGGTCACAAAGGCAGTTAGGGTGAGGTCACCTGGGTGCTGACTAAGGAAGTGGTCGCGGGCTATGGCTAGGCGGTCGGAGAGGCGCGTGATAATGAGATAAAGGGTAGCGTAGAGCGGCGGCGAAAAGGCAGTGAGCTGAGCCTCAGTGCTAGCAGCGCAGTAGCTAGTCTCGAGCGCGTGGAGGTGAGTGGAAAAGTCGGTGACAGTGGGGAAGAATGCAAGGTCAGGGAACAGCATGGGGAGGATCAGGCGGCTAATAGAGGCAGAGGCGGGGGTGGAATAGCGTGCAATGACAGCATCTACGAAGGCCTGGGCGGTCGCTACAGTGGTAAAGCGGGGACGCTCAGACATAGGAAGCTCGTGACTAATAGCAAGCTGCGCGACGGCGTTGCGCGAGTCCCAAACAGCACGAGCAAGTGCTACATCGGAAAAGACCTCACGCTCAGCGATGGTGGGGGCAGCAGGGAGGGCAACAGGCGCAGCGGGGTGGGGAAGCATGCAATTGACATGAACAGCCAGGGAGTGACCGTCCTTGCGCTGACCTGTAAGGTGACGACGGAGGTCGACTAGCCACGCCTCGAAGTCTATCGCCCGACCCTCCGCGTTTAGGCGGAGCTGTGAGTCCGCCATCACCACAGCTGCAGCAGCTGACTGCCGCTGTCAGGGAGAGGAGGAAAGGCAGAGGAAAGCAATGGAGAGCGGTGGAGAGCGGTAGAGTGCGGTGGAGAGCGGTATAGAATGGTGGAGTGTGGTGGAGTGCGGGGAGAGCGGTGGAGATGGTTGGCAGGCGTGCCGATGCAGAAGGGAGCCAGTGCGGGCTGTGGCCGACGGAGCAGGGGCTAGTGGCGCTGGGGGCCGACGAGGGAGGGCCCGACTAGTTGGGGGCCGGCGGGGCGCACAGGGGCTAGGGGGGCGCACGGGGCTAGCGGGGCGCTAACGAGGCCAGCGGGGCAAACGTGTCCAGCGGGGCGCACTGGGCCAGCGGGGCGCATAGGGCTAGCGGGGTGTGACGGGGCTATCGGGGCACGCACGGGGCTGGACGCGCGTACGGGGCCAGTGGGGCGCACAGGGCTAGTGGGGCGCGACGGGGCTAGCGGGGCACGCACGGGGCCAGCGGGGCGATCGGGGCCAGCGGGGCGGACGAAACCGGCGGGGCGCACGGGCTAGCGGTTCTCGACGGGGCCAGCGGGGCATGGACGGGGCCAGCGGGGCGAACGGAGCCAGCTAGGCGTACAGGGCTAGCTGGGCTCGACGAGGGCCAGCGGGGCGCTAACGGGGCTAGCGGGGCGCGAACGGGGCTAGCGGGGCGCGAACGGGGCTAGCGGGGCGTTAAGGGGCCAGCGGGGCGTACGGGGCCAGCGGGGCGCACGAGGCAAGCAGGGCGCTAACGGGGCCAGCGGGGCGAACGGGGCCAGAGAGATGTACAGGGCTAGCGGGGCTCGACAGGGGACAGCGGGGCGCTAACGGGGCCAGCGGGGCGCTAAAAATCCAGCGGGGCTCTAAAGGGCCAGTGGGACGCTTAGGGGCCAGCGTGGCGCTAACGGGGCCAGCTGTTAAATTATATATTGAGTTATATAATTGTTAGGCTTGGTAGGTTACCGAACTTTACTGTAGAGGGTACAATTCCCTCCTTGTATGCCTCTGTCTTTCTATTCCAGCTCTCTTTTCTCTCCTCAACTTTTCTCCTTCCTAAACCTCATGCCACTCCATGGCTCCTCCTAGCTAAACCTCATGCCTTTCCTAGCTTCCTAGCTAAGCTAGCCTTCTAACACCAGCGGGGCGTTAACGGGGTGGCTAGGACTAGGCCTAAGGCGGAAGCACGGATGGGCGGGAGGGGGGGGGGACCTAACCTAGTGTGATACCATATTAGCATGAGAAAGAATGACTAGAATGATGTACCCTCTAAGAGTGCGCACCTATCTAGCCTATAAACCATATATAAAATATGTTTGACAGAAAGAACTGAGTGTGTCGTTGAATGACATATATCTTGTTCCGACTGAGCACCTTAAATCTTGACCTGATTCTCGACTTCCACCAGTGCATGAAGTAAATTTCCATGGACTTGTCAACGTCATCATAATCGTTAACCAGATTCCTCGTGAAGCCCATTGGTTGTCCTGATTGACGTAGAGTAGCTTGCTGCTGCCAATTGGGTTGTCCTTGGTCATGTCGTTGTACCTTGGGATTCCTTATTCACGCTACTCTAGTTTATCACTCTTAACAACAATAGCAAATCGTACAAGTATAAGGCCTTGAGTTAGGAATGTTATCCAAAATCACTCATATGCAATGCGGGGTGCAATGCTGAACGGCAAATTCGGGAGAACGCAATGCCCATTTCGCCACTGCATGTGGACTCAGAAGTGCTTTGATGGGGGGCAGGTTCCCCCGAGTTCTCCTTCCTTCCAGAAGAGTTTCAAGGTGGTGCTGTTCTTGTTCTGTTTTCCTCCCCAGGCTGTGTCCTCCCTGCTCAGGGCGCGACACATTGCGTCCGATTCGTCGATCATTTCACGATCTTGGCACTGTAGAAATCGAGTAACCAGCCTGCTACAGCTGCCGCAAAGTTGTCAAGTACCACATCGGAGTAGAGGATCACTTCCGAAACAATCTTGCAAAACGATTTCACGCCCGATTCTATTTCGAACCTACCCGCGAAAGTAACAGATCACGACTCCCACAAATGGCACGAAACCTCCAGCACTTCGTCAGATCGCCAAAACGAAAATGCTGACACAGAAATATCGAGAGGCTCGCGCAGCGCTCAAGCTTTATGCGAAGATGACGAAGGTTGCGTGCTGGTTTCTGGGTTCTCAGGAAAATACTGGCGAAATGCCCTGATGTCACACTGCAAAGCGAACCTGCGGGCCGAAAGTTGCCTATGTCGCGTACAAGTCCGATATCGAGGGCCCTTTTCAATATGGCTGAAATGATCTTTCTAAAAAATACCGAGTCGATATTTGAGCCGCGATCCTCTGAAACGGACGCAATGTGCCGCGCCCTCAGTCTGGGCAATATCATTTCTCTGCTCAGTCTGGTGCTTATCAGCTTGTGACAATGCACCTTCAAAGAGGTGTTCTTGTTCCACATCTTGGATGGTTTATGTGGACATAATACCCATTTGTCACTTGGCTCTTCAAATTTTCACTGGCGTTGTCCGTGCTCGTGTGCTGTATGCCTTTGTCTGCTCGTTCTGCGTGTGAAGTTCTTGCACTGGCACCTTCGCCTTTCTTTCCTTCACCCATTTCGTCATACAAGGATTCCGCCTGCGTGAGTGACGATCAACCAAGATTATGATAGGAAGACCAGAAGAGCTGGCTTATGTCGGCTCTCATGCTGTCATTTCGATCGACTGACACGCATTGCCATCAGGAATCCTGGGAAATCAATCACTCTTCGTTGTGCCTGTGCCCGCTCGTTCCCTCACCTTCGCTCCTTGCTGTTTCGTTTCATCTTATCTTTCGTCGATCCGTGACGGATGCTCTATGCTCTTGTCTTAACTTGTCATTGCACTCCATGCCTGCGCGTGACGATCCCGTAGGGACATCGGAACTTCCTAGGGAGTAATGACCGATCCAATACACGGAATTAATGGGAATCTCTCTGATGCAGGAATTTTATCTCGGCATACTCCCCTTTCTTTTCTCCCGAAATCCCCTCTTGTTGCTCCTTTCCCCGTCCTGTAATGTTGTAGAGTCAAATTTGACGTCTGAATTTTGCCGTTTGTCGAATTTTCGTATGTTCTGTGGCATTGTTGCCTTCTGTTATTCACACCACCCTCCTGCGCGTGACGATCCCGTAGGGACATCGGAACTCCCTAGGGAGTAGTGACCGATCCAATACACGGAATCAATGGGAATCTCTCTGATGCAGGAACTTTCCCTCAGTTATTTTTTCCCTCTGGTTTCATGTCAAAGATCTCCTTGTGTTTCCCTCCCTCCTCCCTCACCATGTTCTTAAAAAAACCTTCTCTTTCGTTCGGTACGTGGCCAGTCTCTGCTTCAGCGATCTACGTAGTGCTCGACTTCGTCGGTGAATGGACCTGCCCCTAAGGAACTGGTTACCTGCTAATTCTGGGTCCAGATGAGCAAAGCATCGGAAATTGGTTGGATGAACCCATAACTCCTGTAGTAAGTCACCACCACTCAGGATTGCCCTGGAAAATGAACTAACAATGAATGAGTGTATCATTGCAGTCACCACTAGAAGCTCAATGTATTTTTCCAGCTTATTATCACTCGTACCGCTCCAGAAGATACAGGCGGAATTTCTCGTATTCACTCAGTCACAACTGTTCATGTGTTCAAATCATACTAAATAAGCATTTGGATTTCGGGACCCAGGATGGAAGTTTATAGCGAGGATCTCGAGAAACTGAAAACCAAAACCGAAGGGTTGGGTTTTGGGGGGTAGCGATAAATGCGACGTGTGGTGGGGGGTGTTGAAGGCCTCAGTTACTGTTTCGCTTATTTGGTTTCGTGCTTCTTGAGATCCTCGCTTTAACAGCATATTACTAAAAATCGTACCTCATTTGAAATCCCTCGATTCCAGTCGGTTCCCATACACGGATCACGGTTCAGTAGGATGAATAGTGGTCGGGAGCGGTCTCTACGCTTCACCACGTTGGACCACCGAGCACCACATTGGACCGTATTTAGTGGATTGGACACGCCCTAAACGGTGACAGTTACACGCATTCTCTAGACGAGTCGTGACTGAACAACGAAGCACCATCTATAGAGCGTATGTTGAGAAGCTCAGGCAAGCCGAAGAAGCTAGAGGATGTTTTGGTAAGCGCCTTCAGCCTCACGCGTGATAGACTCGTGGACAAGCCGATTAGAATGAGATTACTCAATGCTATAGAAACCGTGCGTTTTTAGGAGCCCTGACTGCATAGGAGGAGGCGTATTGGACAGGTCGCGTGACTGTATAGCAGCCGTGACCGAATAGGATTTTGGGTGATGCATAGGACATAGGACTCGACTCGGAATCGTGTGTAGCCAGCATAAATAACCGCGCATTGACAAGTCTCGGCGAAGTAACGCGCGCGGCAGAGGCGCACGCCCCGCGATAGTGACTGTGACTGGCTGTGCAAGCCGCCACTGTAGGAGAAGCATTGACAAGGCCAGCTGACGAGCAGACGAGCAGACGACGAGCAGACGACGAGCAGACGACGAGCAGACGACGAGCAGACGACGAGCAGACGAGGCGCGGAAGAGCACAGCAGGCTGAGAGACGCGCACCCATCGATAGTCGCAGCAGCTGCTGCCGGATCTGTGAAAGCCCGTCATTAAACAACCTGTGACGAAGGTGCCGCTCTAAGAGCCGTGACTGTAGGGGTGGTGACTGTTGACGCCGTGACTGTAGGACCAACTATGGACCGCGCACTGTAGGACCCGTGACTGTAGGAGCCGTGAAACTATGGAGCGCGTTTTGAGAAGCCTTGACAAGGTGACGAGCACAGCAGAGGCGCATACCCGGCGATGGTCGCAGCAGCTGCTGCCGGATTTGCTCGCGCTGCTCTCCTCTGCTGCTGCCATCCTCGACAGACTTCCTGTAAGCTCTAGACTCCCTGTAAGCTGATCCGTCAAGGTGTATTATCCGTCATATGCACCCCTGTAAGCACCTGCTGCCGGATCTTCTCCCACTTCCCTCTTCCCTCTCCCCTCTCCCCTTTCCCCTCTCGCCTCTCCCTCCTCCCCTCTCCCCTCCTCTTCCCTGCTCTACCCTCCTCTCCCCTCCTCTCCCCTCCTCTCCCCTTCTCTTCCCTTCTCTCCCCTTCTCTCCCCTTCTCTCCCCTTCTCTCCCCTTCTCTTCCCTTCTCTTCCCTTGCAGGTTTTTCTTTATCAAACCAACTATGGCGTCTGCAGTCGTCCCACACCGCCCCCTCACCTCGCCTCATCTACACGACCTCTCTTCCCTTCTCTCCCCTTCCCTCCCCTTCTCTTGCAGTTTCTTATCGATCAGACCAACTATGGCGTGCTGCAACTGTCGCCTCCGATTAACCCACCTTCCCCTTTCCCTGCTGCTGCTGCAACTGTTGCTGCACCTACCAGCAGCAGCAGCAGCAGCACCAGCAGTAATGGTACAGTAACGGCTGCTGCCAATAGCAGCAGCAGCAGCACCACCACTACCACCACCACCTCCACCACCATTACCAGCAGCAGCAGCAATGAGGGGGAACATATGGGGGCGATCACAGCAGCAGTCACTGTGGCTACAGGAACAGCTGCCGCCAGTAGCAGCAGCAGCACCACCACCACCACTAGCAGCACCAGCAGCAATGAGGGGGAACACACGAGGGCGATCACAGCAGCAGTTACAGCAAGACAAGTGGAGTCACTTGAACGCATTCTGCGTTCGGCTGGGGATACTCTGTGAGTGGTGTCACTGTGTCCCTTTGTGAGCATGTCGCTCTTGAAGCAGGGTGTACGAGGGCCACCGCAACAGCAGTCACAGCAAGACAAGTGCAGTCGCTTGAACGCATTCTGCGCTCGGCTGGGCATAATCTGTGAGTGGCCTGTGAGTGGGCTGTGAGTGGGCTGTGAGTGGGCTGTGAGTGGGCTGTGAGTGGGCTGTGAGTGGCTGTGAGTGGGCTGTGAGTGGGCTGTGAGTGGGCTGTGAGTGGGGTGACGTCATAACACGGGCTTAACTAGGGGAGGGAGTCACTGGAACGCATTCTGCTCCCAGCAGGTGATACGCTGTGAGCGGCGCGAGAGTGGTGTGTGAATAGGGTGACCTTTTAGCACTCGAACAGAGACACAGAAGGAGAATGATGGGCTGGACACAGTGGTGCGTGTGTGGGTGAGTGTGGTCTGGGAGTGGTTTGGGTGTGTGACACTGCTGTTACCTCGGGGGAAAGACAAGTGGAGTCATTTGGACTGGAAGCGCGCGGCTGGTGGTGAGACTTTGTGAGTGGTGTGGTTTGAATGGGGTGGCGTTTTGATAGGGTCGATTGGGGTAACTTTGTAACACTTATCAGAGTTTATGTATGATATCTCCGGAATGCATACAGTGCGCTGCTGCTGGTGGTGGTACTCTGTGAGTGGGGTAACATGGTAACCAAAGCATCCTAGTGGGAAAGATACATACTTGATGTCATTCCTTCACGAAACTAAGTCTGCGCTCTGCTGGTGATACTCTTTGAGCAGTTTGTCTCGCAGAGAGTGTGTATGATGCTCAAATACTTAGAATTAATGCTTTAGCATCTTAGACTTATCTGCTTCTTATCTTGCTGCTCTCTCCTCCATACTCCTGCTCCTACCCTTTCAATTAGTCTTAAATTTCCCACCCCTTCCCTCCCACCGTAATCTATCCCTTTCTCTGGATGCCACGTGTCTCTCCCTGATTGGCTGGTCTGCAGGAAGGAAATGGCCAAGGTTTCAGCAGCGCTGCAGAAGCTGACAAGAGATGCCGACCGGGTTGTAGCGGCGCTACAGCCAAGGCCCACAGAGGATGAGAGAAGCCGCCGGCGGGGGCTGCATGCCAGCCTGGCAGAGACATGTGGCGGGCTGCGATTGGTTGCCGATTCGTACTGTAATGAGTAAGCACTAGTATTTTTTTTGCCCCGCAAAGAGTACTGATATTTTTTATTGCAGAGGAATCAGGAAAGCAGGAGTGAGAATAACATTATATTGAGTTCAGAGATGTGCATATAAAGGGTGCGAAGCGAATGCTAGTGTGAGTGTGAGTGTGAATACAAGGTGTGTGCAATGTAACTGATTTTGTTAGGTGTCACTTCCCCTCCCTCGTCCCTGTCTCGCGTCTCCCCCTCTCGCTGTTCTCCCCTCTCTCTGTTCTCCCCTCTCGCTGTTCTCCCCTCTCGCTGTTCTCCCCTCTCGCTGTTCTCCCCTCTCGCTGTTCTCCCCTCTCGCTGTTCTCCCCTCTCGCTGTTCTCCCCTCTCGCTGTTCTCCCCTCTCGCTGTTCTCCCCTCTCGCTGTTCTCCCCCTCTCGCTGTTCTCCCCTCTCGCTGTTCTCCCCTCTCGCTGTTCTCCCCCTCTCGCTGTTCTCCCCTCTCGCTGTTCTCCCCTCTCGCTGTTCTCCCCTCTCGCTGTTCTCCCCTCTCGCTGTTCTCCCCTCTCGCTGTTCTCCCCTCTCGCTGTTCTCCCCTCTCGCTGTTCTCCCCTCTCGCTGTTCTCCCCTCTCGCTGTTCTCCCCTCTCGCTGTTCTCCCCTCTCGCTGTTCTCCCCTCTCGCTGTTCTCCCCTCTCGCTGTTCTCCCCTCTCGCTGTTCTCCCTCTCGCTGTTCTCCCCTCTCGCTGTTCTCCCCTCTCGCTGTTCTCCCCTCTCGCTGTTCTCCCCTCTCGCTGTTCTCCCCTCTCGCTGTTCTCCCCTCTCGCACCTCTCCCCTCTCGCTGTTCTCCCCTCTCGCTGTTCTCCCCTCTCGCTGTTCTCCCCTCTCGCTGTTCTCCCCTCTCGCTGTTCTCCCCTCTCGCTGTTCTCCCCTCTCGCTGTTCTCCCCTCTCGCTGTTCTCCCCTCTCGCTGTTCTCCCCTCTCGCTGTTCTCCCCTCTCGCTGTTCTCCCCTCTCGCTGTTCTCCCCTCTCGCTGTTCTCCCCTCTCGCTGTTCTCCCCTCTCGCTGTTCTCCCCTCTCGCACCTCCCCATATCGCACCTCCCCATATCGCACCTCCCCATATCGCACCTCCCCATATCGCACACCCTCCTCTTCCTCGCCCTTATCCACCCCCCCTCCCCCATGCTTGTGAATGTATGATCTTGTGCATATGTGTGTATGGGCATGGATATGAGTGTGTGCGTGATTGGGTGTGCATGTGTGCATGCGTGCGTGCATGCGTGCGCATGTATGGATGTGGGCATGTGTGCATCTGGGCATGCGTGTTTGTATGGGTGTGCATGTGTGCATGCGCTTGTGTGCATGTATTGGTGTGCATGTGTGCATGCGCTTGTGTGCATGTATTGGTGTGCATGTGTGCATGTATGGGTGTGCATGTGTGCATGTGCATGTGTATGTGTGCATGTGTGCACATACACACCATCAGGCTCCGTTTGAAGCAACAGCTGGTGGCAGCGATCACATACAACACATCGTAAGCCCCCACATATAGTACACCGCACTACACCGCACTACACCTCCCAATGCACTAGACCGCACAGCAACAGCAACACACTGTAAGCCCCCACATACATACCCCTCCTTACACCATATGCACTCCTCACATGCTCTACCCAATGCTATCACATACAACACATCGTAAGCCCCCATATACATACCCCTCCTTACACCATGTGCACTACCGCAACTACATTATTCTGTACACTACTGCACAGTAGTAGCAGCAGCAGCAGCAACACAGCGTAAATATTTTTTCAGTCGACTCAAAGGCCACAAAACCAGCCCCCACACATGCAAGGCCACCACGCATGCAAGACCACCACGCATGCAAGACCACCATGCATGCAACACCACCACGCATGCAACACCACCACCCATGCAACACCACACACCCCTTATGCGATTCACTACCACACATCATACCGCCCTGCATGCGTGTGACCATGGCTGCTATTCCCGCAGTCTTGTGACAGCAACACTAGGTTGGAGCAATCATGCACCGCACACGGTAAGACCCACACCCCCCTACACCCCCCCTACACACACCCCCCTACACCCCCCCCTATACACCCCCCCCTACACACCCCCCCCTACACACACCCCCCTACACACACCCCCCTACACACACACCCCTACACACACCCCCCTACACACACCCCCCTACACACACCCCCCTACACACACCCCTACACACACCCTCCTACACACCCCCCCTACACACACCCCCCTACACACCCCCCCTTCATACACCCCCCTACACACCCCCCTACACACACCCCCCTACACACCCCCCTACACACACCCCCCTACACACACCCCCCTACACACACCCCCCTACACACACCCCCCTTCACACACCCCCCTACACACACCCCGCTACACACACCCCCCTACACACACCCCTACACACACCCCGCTACACACACCCCCCTACACACACCCCCCTACACCCACCCTCCTACACACACACCCTCCTACACGCACCCTCCTACACACACCCCCCTTCACACACCCCCCTACACACACCCCCCTACACACCCCCCCCTACACACACCCCCCTACACAACCCCCCCTACATACACCCCCCTACACGCACACTCCTACACACACCCCCCACGTGCATGTCATGCCACATCATCCGCATAGCATGCATGTCATTGCAAGTCATTGCGTGTCATTGCAAGCCGTTGCATGTCAATCCATGTCGTCATTTCACTCCATCAGCCAAAGTGACATGGCTGCCATTCTCGCAGTCCTAGGATTGTAGACACACACCCCAACCTGCTCCCCCCCGCCCCTTACATGCCATCAGCTGCACAACCATCGCCATCCCAATCTCTGGCATCCTGTTTCATCTCCGTCCACCAGCCAAAAAGACATGGTTGCCATGCTTGCAGTCTTCTTAAGCCTGTAGGCACACACGCCCAACCTCCTCCCCCCCCTCATCCCAATTTCTGACATCCTGTTTCGCCTCCCTCCATCAGCCAAAGCGACATGGCTGCCATTCTCACAGTCTTGGAGGACGAACCCTGCATCGACACACTGCGAGGTACATACTCGCTATAAGCAGTGCCATGGGTGCCATTTTTGCAGTCTTGGAGGATGAGCCCTGCATCGACACACTGCAAGGCACGTTCTAAATTGCTCTTTTGAACCAATCCCAATATAAGGGAACGGTTTTAGATGTATAGAGCTGTATATGGACTTGATCCATCAGCTAAAGTGACATGGCTGCTATTCTTGCAGTCTCGGAGGATGATCCCTGCATTGACAGTCTGCAAGGTACGCGATTACTTATACTCCGTATAAGACAACCCATGCTAAACATACACTCTCTGTCTAAGCCAAAGTGACATGTCTGCCATTCTCGCAGTCTTGGGGGACGAGCCCTGCGCTGACACATTGCAAGGTTCACTCTCACTTATACTCTTTCTAAGACAACTCATGCTAAATATACACTCTCTCTTTAAGCCAAAGTGGCATGGCTGCTTTTCTCGCAGTCTTGGAGGATGAGCCCTGCGCTGACACATTGCAACGTGCACTCTATGTTATCCTCGTTATAAACAAGCCCAATGTAAGGATTATTTCTGTTTTCAATGAAGTTGAACATCGACTCACTCCATCAGCTCAAGCGACATGGCTGCTAGTCCCGCAGTCTTGGGAGGACGAACCGTGTGTCGGCACACTGCAAGGTGAGTCTGTACTCTTTATAAGCATATCCAGCGCAAGGAACATGGGCTAATTTTTTATCAGCCTTAGTGATATGACTGCTGTTCTCGCAGTCTCTTTTTTTTTTTGCTCTCAAAAAAACTCTTGGCGAATAAACTCTGCATAAGGCGCGGTTATACTCTTTATTTATAAGCTGATGTGGAATGAGAAACAGGCTCGTTGCATCGGCCTGAATAACATGGCTGCTATTCTCACGGGCTTTTAGGAACATGCCCTAAGATGCAGAGACATGTATCAACAGGCTATTCCACAGTTACATCAGACTGGTATTCAAAGTCAAAAGGCCTCGTCATAAGCAGACCCACTAAGAATCTCTCTGGGAGTCATGCAACGGATGGGAGTTGAACCTGGAACTTCACTTTTAAACATCCAAGTGGTTCAATCATGCCATTCTTTTCTCACGTTTTTCTTTCCCCCCCCTGCATACCCTAATTCCTGCAGTGGAAGGGTATTTCGCTCTCATGCGTGCTACAGCCACAGGAGCTTGAGAGTAGTATCAGGGTGCAAATCCATGAACCTTTACCTGTAGCACATGGTTCCGAAGAGCAGAGTGGTTCTGTGCGGTGGAAGGGTATTTCGCGCTCATGCGTGCTGCAGCTACAGGAGCTTGAGTGTCCTATTAGGGCTGTGGCAGCACAGGCCTTCACATCAAAGTGGTTCTGTGCGGTGCAGATGGTTATTGTGTGGTGGGGATGCGATCCAGTATAGTTGCAATTACAGCAGGAGCTTGTATTGAGGTGAATTCTCAAGTGGCTGTGCAGTCCCGTGCTGCTCTACAGTAGCACCTCTTTATCGAATTGTTAAGTGCAGAATATACGGCCTAAATGTCAAGGAGCATCTGAAGGGCGGTTTCTTGTACGGATGTTCACCTGAATGTCTATCTGGTGAACACCCACCCACTGAACAGCCTCTTGACCTTTGATTATTATGCCCATAGATAACGTTCAACTGACAATCATTAAAGGAAGAGCGAGAAACATGAGGTAAGAGGGGGAAGGGGTTGGTGAGGAAAGCGTTGGGGGGCGAAGGAGCAGGAACGGTTAGAGCAGGGGGGAGGGAGCAACGGTCCAGTCCAGGAATGGGGATCGGAAGGAGGAAGGAGAGATGTGTGAGGGAGACAGAGGGAGTGAGTGAAGTAGAGAGGCGGAGGGGATAAGGGAGAGTGATGGATGGATCGGTGCATGAGCCAGGCCAGTGCAATTACCGATGAGGAAAACGACAAAAGACATGGCGTGTGTGACACAGGACACGAACGTATAACTTGAATTTCAAAAGAGAAAGACATTACAGGAGTCTAAGAGATACACCATACCAGGGAGGGCAAGGAGCCCACTCACGGTGCGTTAACAGCATCCCCACATCATGGCACGATGCTCAAGAACACACAACCTAAGAACACCTCAAAATCCCCGTTATAAGAAGCTATCCGTCGTCGAGGGTTTCCACGTAACTCTCCAAAATCACGCGCTATGCACCAGGCCCTGCAACCTCCCGATATAGTAACATCTCTATATCCTGTCGATGTCTTCGTCCTCGAATTCGATATAGTCATCTCCGCCGTCTTCACCCTCCTCGTCCATGCCTCCTGCTATACCCTCGTTCAACCTAATATTATCCGGCAGCTCTCCATATGCCTTTAAGAGACGCGCCTCGTCTGGCTGATACTTCAGGATGACGTCAGCCTTGTCGTCTTGATAATCCCGCAGACCGACCAGGATAATATCTCCAGCAGCGATCCAGACCTTCTTATGCATCTTGCCTCGGATGTGCGACAGTCGCTTAACTCCGTCGATGCAAAGCGACTCGCAGCGGCCGTTGCCGAGCATACGCATCACCTGAGCGTATTCCTGGCCGTCCTCCTTAAAGACCAACTCGCGCTTCTCGTCATCGGCCTCGTTCTTTCCTCTCTTCCTGTTCTTACCTCCCTTTCCCTTATTCTTCGGCATGGCTGCGGATCAGGGAGCTCCTGATAGGATATTAAGACAAACGAAGGGCGAGGCACGAATCGCGCTGGCTTAGGACAGAAACACCAGACGGAAGGGACTAGCCCTTAGAAGCTAGTGAAATTGGAGCCTAGCAGCGGCAAAGAGAACCAAACCCTAGCCTTTCTGTCAGTCTTGAAATCTCCCGCCACAAGCAACCACCCTCTCTGATCACCAAAAGTTAACCCCTAGGCGTACAGTGAAAGCTGTATGATTACTAACCTGGTAAAAAAAACCAATATAATTTCGGGACCAGCGAAGAGGAAGTCAGTAACGGGAGTATATGGTTCCTTACAAGCATGTTCTCGCTATGGTGTTGCACTACTCAGGCAGTGTTCCTGTCAGTATTGCATAGCCTTTTACGAGTTTGCTAAACCTAGCTCGGCCAGACCAAGCTGCGAACCAAAACCCTGCTCTCTTCGTGGTTGAGTTTTGCTTTGAATGAACGAACGAACGAACCAGCCATGAAGGTTAGGGAGACTGGCTGAAGTCGCAGCTTGGTTGCTTGAGCGGCGGGCAGACCTGGAACATGCCTTCCGGACCTCGTTCCAGGCAGGACGCCCTAGCCCCTTCCCGAGCGTCCATATTATGAAAGACCGATGACTGTACGCCACGTGTACCTGGCCGAGGTCGGTTCGGGTAACTCTCAGCGAGCTCGACAAGATCCTGGTGTCGCATTTTCGTGTTTGGCAGGGGCGCCTCGGGAATGACTCACCCAGCCCAAACCCCACACCCGACATCATCATATTCCTTTCGTTTTGTAGGGTTTAGTACGCTTCTTCGATTTGTAAAGCGGTACAGCATGGTACATTCTAGTCAACTCCTCACCTCTCTTCTTGTCTCATCATCCCCCAAATCCATGCACACACACATCACACGAGACAAGCCCCCCCTTCCCTTCCCCAGTCACGAAAATCGCCCCTCCTCCTTGCCTGCTTCAAAGCCCCTTGCTTGGTTCTGGTTCAGCCCGGCCTAGCGCCCTCGCAGCGTGCAGCGCAATGCACGCGATGCTGAGCTCGCATGGCGCGCCTAGGAGATTCCGGCCCAGCGCTCTTGCCCCCCACCCCGAACGAGTCGCGCCCTAAACAGGCCACCCTTGCTCCACGCCAAGGGCGATACCAAGGGTGGTTACCCGCCACACTTGCTGCCTCGACGATTGAGTTTTTTTTTTTCTGAACCACAAAGCCCGCGACACTACGAGCCGCAGCTCAGGTTGTAGGCTAGGCGCATCTGGTGCAACTGCTGGCCAGAAATGTGTACTGAAGATAGGCTCTGGCCTCTGTGCCTCAGGTTGTAGGCTCTAGGTTGTTCTTGTCTCGCTTTGCATTCGGCCAGATATTGTCATTGTTAGGTTTTCTTTCATAGCAAAAACAACTTTTTTCCTTTCCGAGGCGCCTCTTAGTTTACCTCCATGCTCCGGCTGGTGTCGTTGCCAACGGAAACTGTTATAAGCGACATGTTGACGCCATTCCGGCATTTCTCGGCGCACTCCGATGTCGCTTCCGCATAATAGAACTAGCCAGGTTGGAAACATCGAGCTTTAGCAGCAACTAGTCGCGTTGCCTATTCAGGCAGACGTTGTCACCGTTTCATCAACTACAGCACGTACTCGACTTGCGATAGTTGATTTAGTGTCATGAGGCGCCCCTCGTATAAGACTTCGGTCTGACCGCAGGATAGCTTATGCTGTGACTCGCGTACTTACCCGCTCAAGCTGCGATAATTGATCTAGTGCCTTTCTTACTTACGCCGTGTCTTGAGGCGCCCCTTCGTAGCTGATGCTGTGATTCACTTACTTACGCGCAATAACTAGTCTCTTTGCTTCAAGGCGTCTGTCGTGCAGCTCTCGCCATGGGGTGGTTACCCGACCCCCTTTTCGCCAACCAGCAACCCAAAACCGACGGCTCCACCAACTCCCCGCGCTACGCCTTCCACCTGCTTTCTCCCTCCGCCAAACCCTCCGCCCACTCCGCCTCCGCGCACCCGCTCTCCGCTTTCCGCTGCACACTCCCCGCGATCGTGCTCGGCGCGCTTCTCTTCGGCAACCTCCTCCTCCTCTCCGGCAACCCCCGCCTCTGGCCCGCCTGCCCGCCCGACCTCGATGCTGTAGACGCGCTCGCTGTAGCGGGGCTTCAATCGGGGGGGCTACAACCCGCGGGGCTAGCGGGATCGTCTGTGTCGGTTGTGATAGAACCGCGGGCGGATGGCGCGTTAGGCGCAGGGAGGGCCTCCGCGGCAGGGGAAGCGGCGGATTGGTGGCGGGAGAATGACGGCGGAACAGGCGGAACTGGCGGAACGGCTACTGGCGGAAGGCCTACTGGCGGAAGGCTTACTGGCGGAAGGCTTACTGGCGGAAAGGGCGGCGTTCCCCGCCTGGCGTACGGCATCCTCGGCGCAAAGAACGACAGCGCGCGCGTCGTCCGCCTGCTTCTCGCGATCTACCACCCCCTAAACCACTATGCCGTCCACATAGACGATCCGGACGAAACTATTTCGTTGAAGACAAAGTTCGCCGCCCACCCGGCGCTGGCGGGGCGGGGGAATATTGTCGTTATCCCGGACCCCGAAGTAGTCACGTACCAGGGGTCGACGCTGCTGTCTGCGACGCTGCGGCTGGCGCATGTGCATATAGCGAGTGGCGCGGAGTGGGACTGGTTTATTAATCTGAGCGCGGCGGACTACCCGTTACTGTCACAAGACGGTGAGTGTAACGAGAAGCTTTGCTGCGTTCCGAGGCGCCTCAAACTGGCGCCTCCCGTGCCCTACATACCTCCCGTGCGCTACATACCTCCCGTGCCCTACATACCTCCCGTGCCCTACCTACCTCCCGCGTCCTTTCTTCCCGAACCCTTCACTCCTTGATGTCGCGATCTGACCGCGTCCCACCCCTCTCTAATCCTTTCTCGTGCACGATCAGTGGCCCTCCTTTGTGCGACTCGTTTAAGTCTATCTGTGGCCTTCGCCCGGGCACAAGCTGTTCAAGTGGTTTGCACTCGGTCGGATTTGCCCTGTTGTGACCGAGCCGCTGACAGGTTGAGCGAAGTCAGAGGTCCAGCGCAAAATAGAAGTCTAGTTTTGAGGCGCCTCAAAACTAGACTTCTATCATCCAGCGCAAATCCGGGTGAACCTCTTGCACCCCCCGCTTCACTCACATGCTCCTGATCCATTCCTCATTCCTCTCTCCCCACCCCCCCCACCCCCCCGCCATACGGCAGTAAGCTGACTCTTGAGTCGACTCAACGGTCACCCCCCGCTTCACTCACAAGTCCGAAGGTGATTTTTGAGTCGACTCAAAAATCCGCTTCGCTCCCACAAGTCCTTATCAGGAGGGCCTCACTCGCAAGCTCCTGATTCATTCCACATTTCTCCCTACCCCTATCCTCATTTCTCCCTACCCCTATCCTCATTTCTCCCTACCCCTATCCACATTTTATCAGGAAATTAGCTGCCTCTTGACTCAACTGTCACCCCCCGCTTCATCCGCAAGCTCCTATCAGGAAGGCCTTACTCGCCTCACATTCATTCCGTAGCTCTCCCTTATCCTCACAAGTACAATAATACTTGTGCCCGTTTTCTCATGTAGCGCCGTCCATATAGCGCATCGTGATTCCCTCCTCTCAACCCCTCTCAACCCCTCCAAACAGGCATGCTGCGTCTGTTCCCCCATGTGAGTCGTCGCTACTCGTTCATTGACCACAACGCGCCCACCCGACTCACACCACTTCCCCAAACCTCCCTGCCTCCCTCCCGTTTCTCCCTCCCCGTCGCGGCACCCCCCCCCTGTCCTTCCCCCCCCATGCAGACATGATGTATCTGTTGTCCCACGTCTCGGTATCCCGCCCCCCGCCCCTCCTTCCCACGTGTATCTTCCTCCCCACACCGCCGTTATTCCCCCCTCCTTCCCCCCCCCATGCAGACATGCTGTATCTCTTCTCCCACGTCAACCGGAGCTACTCGTTTATGGACCACAACACGGACCACAGATTCGAGTGAGTTCTGTTATAGTCACATGTGAACGCATTGTACAGCTCTTCGGGCCTCAGTATAGTCACACACCGCGCTCGTCTGTTCTCCCACGTCAATCGGAGTTTCTCGTTTATGAACCGCAACACGGAACACCGATTCGAGTGAGCTCTTCTTTATGTAGCAAAGATGCTCTTCCTCGTTTTAGTCACAAATGAGCTCTTCTTTATGTAGCTCCTCTAGCCTCACTATAGTCACACCGCTCATTGGCCTGTTTTACCACCTCAATTGGACCCATTCGTTCATGGACCACGACACAGTGCACCGATTTGTGCGAGTCTTGGCTAGCGCAGACCCGTCCTCGTTACAGTCACATGACCTCCTTATACAGCTCTTCTAGTCTCACTTTAGTCACACAGCTCGTTTGGCCGTTTTACCACGCGAATCTGAGCTACTGAGTCATAGATCACAGCACCGAGCACAGATTCAAGGGAGTGGTTTCTACGTAATCAGAGTCACACAGAGAACTTATGAGTCGACTCAAAAGTCAACCCAAAAGTCGACAAAAAACCGCCGAGCACAGATTCGAGTGAGTGGTTTCTACGTCACTAGAGTCACACAGCGGCCAGGTGCAGTGAACCTGGACAGGGCGTTGCTCCAGGCGCACAGACCACCTTGCCAATGCCCCATTGTACCCATACCTCCCCCTCCCCTCCCCCTGTTCGCCAGCTACCGCCAGCGTGCAGTGAATCTGGACAGAGCATTGTTGCAGGCGCACAGGGGACAGAAGCTGACTTCCTTCCCTCCTTATTCTCCTGCTGCACTGGCATCCCCACCTTTTATTTCTCGTGTTGATCCAGCTACCGCCTGCGTGCAGTGAATCTGGACAGGGCGCTCTTCGAGGCGCACAGAGGGCACAAGCTGGTCTCCCTACCTTGCTAGTGCTGACCTTTACCCCTTCCCCTTTATTTCGTTTGCCTCTCCTCCGTCCTTCCAGCTACCGCCAACGTGCAGTGAATCTGGACAGGGCGCTCTTCCAGGCGCACCGAGGGCACAAGCTGATGCGGGAAGTGCGCCCCACTGCCACCCGCTTTCATGTGTTCATGGGTGAGTTGACTCCCGTTGACTCGGGTTGACTCTAGGTGACTCTAGGTAACTCTAGGTGAGTCAACCCGAGTTTAAGGTGACATCTAGGTGACTCTAGGTGGCCCAGCCTGCCCCTTTGCAGGCTGCTACTGCATCAAGGCGTCCAGGTCTTTCCTGCGCTATGTCCTCTGGGAGCCCGCCAGCCGAATGGGTTGTTTACCCTTCTCTCACTCCTCCCCATCGCCTCACTCCTCCTCCACTCCTCCCACCCCTCCTCCCACCGCCATCCCTCCAGGCTGCTACTGGATCAAGGCCTCCCGTTCCTTCCTGCGCTGCACCCCATGGGACCCCGCCAGCCCAGTGGGCTGCCTTGCTTCCTTGCTCCCTTCCCCACCACCCCACCCCCCACCCCACCCCCCACCCCACCCCCCACCCCCCACCCCACCCCCCACCCCACCCCCACCCCACCCCCCACCCCACCCCCCACCCCCCACCCCACATCCTCCCCCCCCCGCCCTATACTCCCCCCTCCCCCAGGCTGCTACTGGATCAAGGCTTCTAGATCTTTCCTGGGCTCCGTTCTCTGGGGGCCCGCCAGCTGAGTCAAGTGTGCCCTTGTCTGCTGCCAACTGTCAGCATGCCGGCCACCACTGCGCCCTTGTCTGCTGCCCTGCCCATCCTCTCTGCCCCTCTGCTTCTTCATCTTCCCTCACCTTCGTCCTTCCCTGCCCCCCAACCCCCCCCTCCCCTCCCCCCCTCCCACCCACGCACACGCTGCTGGCTGCTACTGCATCAAGCTTCTAGGTCTTTCCTGCGCTACGTCCTCTGGGAGCCCGCCACCTGAATCAAGTGTGCCCTTGTTTGTCCATCTTCCCCCTTTCCTTCCCCCCCCCACCTTCTCCCCCTCCTCCCCCACTCCACACCCCTCCAGGCTGCAACTGGATCAAGGCTTCTAGGTCTTTCCTGCGCTACGTCCTATGGGAGCCCGCCAGCTGGCCGCGCCGCATCCTCATGTACATGGCTGACGTCATCGACTCGGACGAGCATTATTTCAGCACCGTGGCGTGCCAGGCGGGGCGGTTCAACCGCACCCTTGTGAACAGCAGCCTGCATTTCGCAAAATTTGCCAAAGGGAGCCCGGTAAGCCAGTCAGTCGCTTGGCATGTGTAAGGCGTTCGCATCCTCACGTCCGTTTCCGATCGGACGATCACGACTTCAGCACCGTGGCGTGCCAGTCGGGGCGGTTCAACCACACTCTTCTCAATAGCAGCCTGCACTTTGCCAAGTTTGCCAAGGGAAGCCCGGTAAGACAGGGGGCAGGGGGCAGGGGGCAGGGGGCAGGGGGCAGGGGGCTGGGGGGAGGGGGGGAGGGGGGAGGGGGCAGTTGCAGGAGTGGAGGGGGCAGAGCCCTGACGTCATCGACTCGGACGAGCACGACTTCAGCACCGTGGCCTTCCAGTCCGAGCGGTTCAACCACACTCTTCTCAACAGCAGCCTCCATTTCGCGAGATTCGCCAAGGGCAGCCCGGTACGTGCCAGCCGGGCCAGCCAGTGTGGTAGTAGTGGCGTGCCAATCCGGGCGGACTGGTCCACCACACTCGCCTCAATAACAGCCTTCACTTCGCGGGTAGCCAGTAGAGCAATTGCTTCGACTGGGACGAGCGCCGCTTTAGCACTGCTCTATTGAGGCGCCTCAAAACGAGGTGATTTTTGAGGCGCCTCAAAAACAGCCAACAGAGCAATCGCTTCGACTGGGACGAGCACCGCTTTAGCAGTGCTTGAGCACAGTGGTATGTTAGTCGGGGCGAGTCTAAAAATCCCCGTGCCCCCCCTTCTTGCCTCCCCTCCCTGTTCCACCCCCCTGTGCCCCCCTGTGCCCCCCTGTGCCCCCCTGTGCCCCCCTGTGCCCCCCTGTGCCCCCCTGTGCCCCCGTGTGCCCCCGTGTGCCCCCCTGTGCCCCCCTGTGCCCCCGTGTCCTCCCTGTTCCTCCCCTTGTGCCACCCTGTCTGTCCCCCCTGTACCCCCCTCCCCTGTCCCCCCTGTACCCCCCTACCCTGTCGTGAAATCAGAAGTGTGAGACGTGTGAAACACGTGTGTATTTTTTAGTGGCCTGCGAGCGAGGGATCAAATCTTACTACCAAGGGTGTGACGAGACTTGCGACAGTGCACAAACTCTGGGATGTCGCCCGGCGCTCTCCAGTCACATCCGGGTTGGCGGTTCTATTGCAAATTACTAGAAAACGCCCTGTGGAGAGACCATGAGCCTGAGCAGGGCTGAGGGACATGACCCTGGCTTTAATCCCCTGAGGTTATGTTCCCAATTATGTTCCCCCTGTCCCCTCTCCCCCTCCGCACCCCCCTCCCCTCCCCCTCCCCCCCTCCCTCCCGCTTTCAAATCCAGCATTCCCGCGAGATGAGTCTTCCCCCTCCTCCTACGATGCCTTCATCAACCCTGCTGCCGTCTTCCTCTGCTAAAGCGTGTGCCTATGCTCCCTCCCTTCCCTCACCAGTACTGGGGAAATCTTCCTCTGCTGAGTGTATATGCCCACTTCTGTCTTCAATGTCCCTCTGCCCCCTTCTTTCATTCCAAATCCAGCACTCCCTTGAGATGATCGACTCGTACTACGATGCCTTCACCAGTAAGTGCTTCCTCTGCTGAGTGCATTTGCCCTCTGTTCCTCCTACCACCCCTGCCCCCCCTGCCCCCTCCTCCCCCCTTCCCCCCAAAATCAGCACTCCCTTGAGATGAACGACTCGTACTACGATGCCTTCACTAATGCTGCCGGTGTCTTCCTCTTTGCCAGGAAGTTTCCTCGCGACTCCCCCACTCTCGACCGCATTGACAGGTGGGTTCAAGTCAACCATATTTTTGACTTACTATACTAGACTAGGTGACTTTTGAGTCGACCCAAAAGTCACTCTTGACCGCATTGACAGGTAAGCTCAAGTCAACCATATTCTTGACTTACTATACTAGGCTAAGTCCTCACCCAAAGTCAACTGAGTCGCTCCCTTGCAAACAAAGGCAAAGTTTGCACCTCAAGTCAATTTTGCTAAATCTTGATCTTATATGCCAAGTCAACCAGCCCAATAGTCTTCCAAGAATGGCTATGCTTTTGTACGTCTTCAAGTCAAGCCAAACTGGTCAGTACTACTCAAGCGAGACCTGTGTATAGTTAGCAGATTTCTTTTTCTCGAGTCATTTTTATTTTACAAGTCAAGAGCACTTTTGTATGTTCAAGTGAAGCTATCAGCATTTCCTGCTCCCTTAATTCGATTTTTTGGACGCCTAAAAACTACCAGGGAGCTAGGCCATCACACAAGCGCTTGCTACATGCTCCTCTCCTCCCCTCCAGTTTTGAGGCGCCTCAAAAATCATCTTTTGATGCAACGCCCTCTACTCCCCTCCTCGTCCCTCCCAGGGAGCTATGCAGTGGCGGCCTGACAGCATCGCCCCCGGAACTTGGCCTCTCGCACCCTCCTCCATCCCTCCTTCCACATTCTCCCTTTTCCTTCTCCTCCCACCGCATTACTGCAGGGAGCTGCTGCAGCGGCAGCAAGGCAGCACCACACCTGGCGCTTGGTGCTCTCTCCCTGCCTCCACCACCGCTTCATCCACATCTTCCCTTCGTTTTGTGCTCGCAATCTCCCTTGTCTGTTCTCCACCCTTATTCGCAGAGAGCTACTGCGCCGGCAGCCAGACTGCATTGCACCCGGCGCCTGGTGCTCCCTCCCACCCTCCACCACCTTTCCTTTCCTACCCACCCTTTTTTTTTTTTTTTTTTTTTTTTTTTTCCCACCCTTGCACACATGCTCCCTTGCTCCTGCCCTCACTCGCAGGGAGCTGCTGCACCGGCAGCCAGACCGCATCACACCCGGCGCTTGGTGCTCCCTCCCACCCTCCAACACCACCACTCTTTCTGATTTCAGTTCCTTAGACGCTAGTGATGCCAGCACCAGCAGCACCACCAGCAGCACCACCAGCAGCACCACCAGCAGCAGCACCAGCAGCAGCGGCAGCGGCAGCAGTGGCGGTGTTATTGGGTGGTTGCAGCGGTTACTATCCCCCGCACCATGCAACTCTCGCAGGCAGAACTCGATCATTCCCCCACCCTCCATCACTCGCACAGTCATACCACCTGGTGCCGGCGGTGTCACCATTGACAATGCCAATAATGGAGGTGATAATAACGGAGTTGGAGCTGGCTGCCCGTCTACAGTAGACACTGTGTTAGTAGCATCCTTGAGACAAGCACCAAGCGAGAGGGTTAAAGCCATGCTGCCTCGGTTTCTCGAGTTGCTGGACACGAGCAGCTCGTGCGGAGTGCCTGAGGGGGATCGCAGAATGGCTATGGAAGAGGAGTGGAAGGACGGAGATGTGCCAAACATAGAGAAGTATCAAATCTGAAGGAGAGGATCATATCTTCAGTGAATGGCGGTTTCTGGAGGTACTTGCTCGAGTGTACAAGCAACTAAAGCCGAGTGGCAGACGGGGACCGCAGGATGGCTATGGAAGGAGAGTGGAAGGATGGGATGGGTGGGTGGTGATGTTCCAAGTTTAGAGAAGTACCGGTATCAGACCTAGACTGGCTCGATCGAGACACAAGCAAACCCTTCCAACTGCCTGGGGGAGATGGCTGCTAGGGTAATGAAAGGGAGTGGAAGGATGAAGATCGGGAAAGAAGTGTAAGTTTTGTAAGCTACATATGGTTTGTCAAGAATCTACTTGTTCCTACAATGTAAGATATAAATGGTAATAAAATTAAGGTCTGGATGGGCTACGATTCTCGGCGTGAGGCGCCAATAGAATAACAGAAAGTAGCCTTGATAAGATTTGCATTTTGATATTTATGCTAGAATATAAGAACAGCCAAATGGCATTTTAAATAGGCTACTGTACCGAGGCAAGCAACAAACGAACCACGCGATTGCGGCGATGGAGTTGCCTTCTGGAGCAAAACCGCGCTCAACTGGCTGACACTTTGAACAGACTGCCAGAACATCAATTGGCAGACGGCAGCAGGAATAGGCTGCCGGAACGTCAATTGGCAGACGGCGGCAGGAATAGACTGCCGGAACGTCAATTGGCAGACGGCGGCAGGAATAGACTGCCGGAACGTCAATTGGCAGACGGCGGCAGGAATAGACTGCCGGAACGTCAACCGGCTGACGGCTGGAATAGACTGCCGAAGCCCTGCGTGTAATTCGGCGAAGCAGCTTCGTCGCCTATGTCTTTAGCAGTAGCGTCTCGGACCGCGTGCTTCGTTCCGTCCTCCCAACCTGGCACACGACCACTCCCCGCGACTCGCGCTTGCTTCGGCAATGTTGGCACTAGGGCGGAGATCGACCCACTAAATCGCAGGGACGCGCTTAAAGCGCAGAGGGACCCCTTTAATCGCAGGGACGCGTCAAAGGCGGACGCGTTAAAGGCACAGAGGGACCCCTTCAATCGTATCGTTAGTTTAGAGGAGAACCCGGCTCTCAACAGTAGCAGTGATGACGTCAGAATTGATGTCAGAAATGACGTCCGAGATGGCGTCCGTGATGACGTCAAAGATGACGACGACGGTGGGATCTCGCTGGATCCGCTGCGCGATCTAAGGCCGACGTTGATTGGCTCAACGTGGCAGCGGGAATCGTGGCGGCGGAAGAAGCGGCCGGTGAAGACGCCGTGCCCGCCGGAGAAGGCGCGTCCGTCGCTGGTTGAGGAAATGATTTCGGCTTGGAAGAACGAGCGGAGAAGGCGGCGGGAGGGGAACTGGATCGTTGACACTCCGGTGAGTCACGTCACAGGAGGTGGTCGGTGCATTGCTCAGGCCGGCCGGTGAAGGCGCCGTGCCCGCCGGAGAAGGCGCGTGCGTCGCTGGTTGAGGAGATGATGTCTGCTTGGAAGAGCGTCTGCTTGGATGATGTCTGCTTGGAGGAGATGGTAATGGCGTGGCGGAACGAGAAGAGGCGGAAGAACGGCAGCTGGAGTGTCAACACGCCGGTAAGTCACAGGAGTTGGGTCGGGTCCGGTCCGGTATATGGTGCTAAAAGCGGCCAGAGAAGGCGCGTGCGTCGCTGCCTGACGAGATGCTTGCAGCGTGGCGGAATGAGCCAGGTGTTGACGAGTGGCTCATTCCCCCAGACGGCAGGATAAGCCAGTAGACAAGTGACAGCGGGGGGAGGTGAACTAGACCGTTGACACTCTGGTGAGTTGAGTCGAGAATACGAGGTAGGTGGGATGTTAGGTGGGTTGTTGGACAAATGGGATGCGCCAGAGCCTTTGACATCTTCCAGTGAGCGCAGCGCCAGTAGACAAGGAAGATGTCCAAGGATCTGCTTAGGTGAGTTGTTGGACGGATGGGATGCGCCAGAAAAGGCGTGCCCGTCGCTGGTTGAATCTAACTTTGCGAGTCGAGAATTCGAGCTAGGTGGGGTGTTGGATGGGAAGTGCAGGAGAAGGCGCGTCTGTCGCTGGTTGAAGAGATGGCGGAACGAGAAGAGACGGAAAGGAGGCAGCTGGATTGTCAACACTCTGGCTTCGGGTGCACCTCGGATGGATGGAGGGAGCAGTATGCTGGATGGAGGGAGCAGTATGCTGGATGGAGGGAGCAGTATGCTGGATGGAGGGAGCAGTATGCTGGATGGAGGGAGCAGTATGCTGGATGGAGGGAGCAGTATGCTGGATGGAGGGAGCAGTATGCTGGATGGAGGGAGCAGTATGCTGGATGGAGGGAGCAGTATGCTGGATGGAGGGAGCACCCCCCCCTGGGTTCCATGTCTTTACATGGCACCCACGCCCATCTTCCTTCTCCCCTCCCCACTTCCCCCCTCCTTTTCCCCTCCCCACTTCCCCTCTCCTCTTCCCTTCCCCTCTTCCCCACTTCCTCTCTTCATGCTTCTGCCCTTCCAACCCCCCTTTCCTCTCTGTGCCATTCACCATTCCTCCTCTCCCCCTTTTCCCCTCTCCCCCTTTTCCCGTTTCCCCATTCCCCCTCTCCCCATTCCCCCTCTCCCCATTCCCCCTCTCCCCATTCTCCCTCTCCCCATTCCCCCTCTCCCCATTCCCCCTCTCCCCATTCTCCCGCTCCTCATTCCCCCTCTCCTCATTCCCCCTCTCCTCATTCCTCCTCTCTCCCCCCCATGTGTTTTGAGTCTGTTCACTGTTTTCGTGGCCCCCAGGCAAGTTCACGGATGCTCAAGCCCAACCACATTCCGTGTGCTCTTTGAGTCGACTCACAATGCACCCGCATTCCGTGTGGCCTCTTTTTCCTCCCCACTAAGCAGTAGTCGCTGCCACGGGAAGCCACAGCACCCAAGTGGTGTTCTATAAGTTGATGGATACTCGACCCCTTCCGCATTCCGTGTGCTCTTTGAGTCACCTCACAATGTACCCGCATTCCGTGTGCCCTCTTTTTCCTCCTCTCTACCCTATCCCCCCCATTGCCCCTTCCCCCCCCTCCCCCTCCCCTCCCCCTCCCCCTCCCCCAGCGCGCCATCCCCACTTCCTCCCGCCCGGATCCCCCCTGCCCTGACTGCAGGGGGAGCGGGCGAGTGGAGTGCACCAGATGCTGCGGCCGAGGTTAGTGGGGGGAGGTTGGGGGGGGGGTCTTTTGAGGCATGCTAAAGCGGGCTAGCATGGGAAAAGGGGAGAGGGGAATTGTTGCAGGGGAGCGGGCGAGTGGAGTGCAACAGACGCTGCGGCCGAGGTGAGTGGGGGGGAGGGGGAAGGCAGTCTGAGAATTGCAGAATTTGCGCTTGTGGTGAGGGCGAGTGGAGTGCAGCAGGTGCTGCAGACGAGGTGAGGGGGAAGGGGGGTTGGGGGGGACAGGTGGGCATGGAGTGATGTTGGAGAGTGCTGGGGGAGGGGGGAGTGCTGGGGAGGGCGGAGTGCTGGGGGAGGGGAGAGTGCTGGGGTTGGGCGAGTGCTGGAGGAGGGGGGAGAGTTAGAATATTCTACCTTCATTCTATTAGCCTACATCGTTTCATTGTCTTAGGTACTTATACGCACCCCACTAAGGTGTATACACCCAAGTTGGGGGTTGGGTTCCCAACCTTGTTGGGTTCCCAAATTGGTTGGGCTCCCAATTATTGGAACCCCCAAATAATCCCAACCTAGATTATTGGACCCACCAATAATCTTGGCTAGGATTATTGGACCCCCAATAAGTTGGCCAGCCCAACTTATTGGATTGACCAATAATTGTGGTCACCTCCCAACCAAACCCCCCCTCCTACTCCTCATCTATGTATACCCGCTCCTTTCCTAATACAATTAACTACTTTTTCACCTTTTCTCACAGGGAGTGCTGGGATTGGGGGTAGTGCTTGGGGTAGGGAAGAGATGGGAGCAAGTGTAAGTGCTCCAGCTTCAAGAGTAAGTGGAAGTGCTCGGTGCTGGGGTTTGCAAGGGGTCGGGTTTGCAAGGGGTGGGGTTTGCAAGGGGTGGGGTTTGCAGGGGGTGGGGTTTGCAAGAGGTGGGGTTTGCAAGGGGTGGGATGTGCAAGGGGTGGGGTGTGCAAGGGGTGTGCAAGGGGTGTGCAAGGGGTGGGATGTGCAAGGAGTGTGCAAGGGGTGGGATGTTCAAGGGGTGGGGTTTAGATCCAGGGGGATAAAGGAGCAGAGGGAGCAGTCATGACGGTGGGTGCTCAAGGGGAGTGTGTGCGTGTGGGGGGGTGGGGGGGGGGAGGACAGGGAAGACGGACATGGAATGCGAAAGGTAGGGCTCTTTTTCCCTCCTGCTTATCTGTGTGCTATTTGCGCGCGTTTTACATCTCAGAACATTTTTCTTTGCTTTTAAATTGTTGTTAAAGCGAGGGTCTCAAGAAGCAGAAAACCAAATCCAAAGGTTTTGGTTTTGGGTTGACGAACTTTGCAAAACAGTTACAGCGCCCAACCAGCACCCCTTACCACACCTCGCAATTTCCGAGACCCCCCGAAACCAAAACCTTTGGGTTTGTTTTTTTCCTTCTTGAGACCCTCGCTTTAAAGCGTGAAAAAATTATGGTGTGTCCTCCTGAAAGAATTTGGTTTCCGGGCTGCACCAACCTTGCTCCTCGTCGTCTGGTGTCTCATCCTGTGCCTCCTGCCTCCTCCCATCCCCCCCATCCTGTGGCTTTCCTCCTCTCCCCTTGCTCATTGTCCTCCCATCTCTCCAGGCCGCACCAACCACATTGACCTGGTTATGCTCCCTACTGGCTCCTGGCCCCGATGGTATGCTGCCCCTACTCTCTCTCCTCCCCCACCTCACGTGTCCACTGACTTACCCTGTAGCTTTTCTCCCCTCTTCTTGCCAGGATGGTATGCTGCCCCCACTCTCTCTCCCCCCTCCCCCAAAATTATGTTCTCAGTTGTCTTATTTTCTCTGCTTACCCACCCACTTACCCACTGCATCTGGTTTGTCCGCAGGAATTGCTTCTGGTTGCTGTACTGTTTCTCTTCTCCCCCTCCTCTCTTCCCACTTCTCCCATCCCCCCCCTCACCTGCTGGTTTTGCTGGGATTTCAACATTATAGTCCCCCCCCCGCTTCCTCCCACCCCAACCCCCTCCGCCTCGTCGTCCTCCCCCTCACCGCCCTCCCCCCACACCCACCTCTTTCCTTCCAGGTGTTGGTTCTGCAGGGGCAGCGGTCGCTGCTACTGCGCCCGCTGCCTTGGCACCGGGCAGAAACGAGGGATAATTGGATTTCACTGAATTTATTGCATTTGAGGCGCCTTGTTTTGAGGCGTCTCAAGCAGTCTTGGCATGGGGCTCCTCATCTTGAGGTGTGTGATTTGCTGGCACCATACAA